TCTTGCTTCGCAGGACTGTAAAGAAAAGCTTTGAGGGATCTTAGTCATGTCAAGAAGACAAGTAGGTTCGACGAGGCGTGTAGGGGATAGTGGAAGCTTTCCATTTGTAGGAGCTTTGCATTCGAAATCGCGTTCGACTCCTCTATTATCTATTTGCCTTGTTCTCGTGGTATGATGATTTTTGTGCTTCATTGTTAATCTCTTAAGTGATTCGTTTCATAGGATACAAATTGACTGTTTTTTTTTCTCAAATGTAATCCTTTTTATTTCCAGGGAGCATGCCTTCTTATTGGTTATGCTTACAGTGGTCCAGGTTTGTATATCTTCAACTCAGTATGTTTTTTTTTGCTTTGCGATTTCAACTTGGAAACTCTAATTGCAAATTCCTGTGTATTCAGGTATGTTTAACAGTATCAGAGAAGTCAGTAAGATCACAGGTAATTCTTGTTACTCATCTTCGATACACGTGCTTAAAGATAGTGTTAGTCTTCAATCAAAAGTGCTTGACACTTGACATTAATTGTCGAATTTGTTTAACAACTCTCTTAGGTGACTATTCTTGTACATTGGAAGTCCAAAGAGCTATTCCTGTTCTTAAGAATGCATATGGAGATAGCATCCATAAAGTCTTGCACGTAGGTCCTGATACTTGCTCAGTGGTCTCGAGCCTGGTGAAAGAAGAAGAGACTGAAGCATGGGGTGTTGAACCATATGATGTAGAGGATGCAGACTCTAACTGCAAAAGTCTTTTGCACAAAGGCATTGTACGTGTGGCTGACATCAAATTCCCTCTGCCTTACCGGTCAAAGTCATTTTCTCTTGTGATCGTCTCAGATGCTCTGGATTACCTCTCACCCAAATACCTGAACAAAACCGTGCCTGAACTTGCGCGGGTTGCTTCAGATGGTGTTGTTCTTTTTGCAGGTAACGAAAACAAAACCTTTAAGAATAATAGCTGAGATTAAGAATCCAAAGTGATGTAAATCCAGTCTGATTGTACTTTCATCTTATTGTAGGTAACCCTGGTCAACAAAAGGCTAAAGGTGCAGAATTGTCGAAATTTGGACGACCGGTTAGTTCACTAAAAACCATGGTCATCTCGTGAATGAAACCGCATATTACAATAGTCAAATCTTTCACCAATTCATATAGATGTGGTTTAGATTTATACTTTGTCATGTTTCGCTAATTTGATCCAATCCCGATGTTTTGCAGGCGAAAATGCGTAGCTCATCGTGGTGGATCCGATTCTTCTCACAGGCGAATTTAGAGGAAAACGAAGCAGCAAGCAAGAAATTTGAACAAGCAGCTTCCAAGATTTCATACAAACCAGCTTGTCAGGTCTTCCACCTCAAGCCATTACATTAGCAAACTCTTATTACTGGTCTTAAAGCAATATGTCTGTTATATGCCTTTTTCACTTTTTTCACTATAGAAAACGAAACAAAAATTCCCCAAAATTTGTAACCCATTCTCAACTACTATTTGATTCATAATAAATTAGCCTGCATTAAAAAGCTTTTTATATGATCCTAAGACATCATCAGATAGAGAGAGAGTTTCAATTTACTACTCTGCAGACTTGTAGCTAAGTGACAGATTAATTCTAGTCGGCGAAATACTCGGTCGATTAATCAGATCAAATAATTATGAATTATGAGTGATCTTATTATATAAGAAGTAACAGAATAACTGGAAAATCAAAATAATGATAGTTTTACGACATTGGACGGTATCTATTTGGCTGTTGCATTNAAATGTTCTGTTTTTGGTCGCAAGGTTAAAGAAGCTAAATAAGGCCAGGCCCAACAATAAAATTCATATGTTAATTGGTTGGTTTGATATGTATGGAGCCGGATGAGAATGGCCCACAGTACATTCAACATTATACACACAAAAAAGTTCAAAAAAATCAGTAGCCTGCCTATAGGCGCTAAATGAATGATTTCCCATATGTATCCAATCTATAAATGGTTGAAAAACTTGAACCAAATTCCAAAAAATAACATAGAAACAAATCAAAACAGTATAGATTTATAAATATGGAAAACGAGAGGGGAGAGACAAACACAGACTGGTATAAAGACATAAACATAAGTTGACCATACTGTTTGTTAACTTGGTATCCAATGCTAGTGGGAGTTTTGTCTTTTCTTTTTCTTGTCAAGTTTCTATTTGGTTTATTTATTGGTTTTGCCTTTGTTATATGACCTACCCAATTCTAACATAAGACCAACTTGTATATATATTCACAACAACTTTTTTTATGGACAAAACTTTCTCATGATTTTAAGCCTTTCAATTCTTATAATCGGAAGCATCTGAAATCCAAAACTTAGACTAATCTTTGAAACATATAAAACATCATGTTTTATATATTGTCTACTTTCACACCCAAAAAATAAATCTAAGGATACAAATCCATAAACTGATCCTTGACATAGAGACCTACATTGTCACCACTTAAAATCTCTCACTAAACAATGTTCATTGGTTAAAATCTTAAAAATTCGGAAAACAACTTGTTTCTAACCTTTTTAGTTTATCCATCTTCGCGTATAGCATTATAGATTTCCCAACTCATAAATCTTGCTTTTAGAATAAACTATATTTTACTACTCATCACTCCAATTCATCAATGGGTGTACTCATACATTCAAATATACACCTCATTTTTTGGTTATTTTTTTTACAACAATATACAACCTCATTTAGACGAGAGAGATCAGCCGGAAAGATTCGATCATCAAACAGGCTAATACACTAGCATTCAAGAAAATACAACAACAAAAATACATATCAGGTTTTGAGAGTGTTAATTGGGACCCACGTTTTCAATTCTTGGAACATGAATAGTGGGAATTAAGAAAAACAAAAATGGAAAAAAGAAAGATCACGATGGTTGTCACAAAATGTTGTTGATTGATGTAGGGACTTCGAGGTGGGTAGGGTCTTATAACCTATACTTTTCACATGCATTCTTAAACCCTATTTCTACTGCATTTCCATGTGCCTCCCCTCACGTCTCTACCTCCTCATTTCTTTTTAAGTTTCTTTAATAATATTAATAATTACAATACAAATATATACATATATTTTCCCAAATGCATCATTTCTTTAACCAGCTAAAACAAGGTTGAAGTGCATTTTCCATATATAAAGTCCAAACTTGGTCCATTTATATTGAATTATGTAGATATAACTTTTAAGTAATATTTATTTGTGTGAAATATTGCGGTTATTAGCTTTAAAAAATATTTATGTATTTTGGTTTTGTGCAAATATATCAAAATAGTAATATAGCAAAAAAAAATTACTTGTTTCGATTAGGATCATTTGAGTTTTATAGGAATCATCTTTTGCTGAGACAATAGTATTTTGGAAGTATAAAAAATATGTTTTATGGTATCAATTGCCATATATTTTCACAGGTACAGTTTTTGTTTTTCTCGATTTTTCTTCTTCTATTGTC